ATGTTTTGCAATTTCGAAATTTTTCCATTAGAAACTAATTATACTATTAATCCTGTTTGCGGAAACTGTTATATAATGGAAAATAAAGTTTATTTTAATAATTACTGACAAAAAGATTGAGAAGATCAATGGCTTCTCGGTAAAATTTCTATGTGTCTGTAAAGTTAGAGGAAGACAGGCCAAATAAACAGTTTATTCAGATTTAAAAAGAAAGAAATAAAAAATATAATGGCGATTAATTACAAAAGAGAGATTATTTTCACCATCAAGACAGCAATTATGAATAAGTTAATCATAGAAGGAATATAAAAATTCTTTAAATTAATATTATGTTAATTAAAAATTTTTGCCGGTGAAAATTAGAAGAAATCATCTAGTTTGGAAAACACTCAACTAAAATAAGTTCCAAAATTATCGTCTGCGTTTCTTTATTTGATCTTGTGCTGCTTCTCTATTATTGCTAGCATTAGCCTTGTTTTTTTATATCTCTTGCAACCCCTTATTTGAGATTATGGTGTTGAAGCTGATCTAGTCGATGAAGTTGATCTAGCAGAAATGTGTGTGACTAGACTTAAAAAACCCAGAGCAACACCCATTTTCCCAAAATGTAAGAAAGAAAAGAAAAAAAAAAAGACTTTAGCATGATATAGTTGTTGACTTAGCACTGTATTATTTGAAAAATGCAAGTATTTCGCAAAGTGAAGGGGAATCTTTATTTGTTTAAGTAATATTCCTTGCCAAATGTTTATAATTTTAAGGTATTATGTCTACGACTTAAGCCATTGTTCAAGCTTTAATTGATTTTGATGATTGTCTTTTAGAACAATATGCCACTGGTTTTATCGTACATGGAAAAAATAAATTTTTTAATAAAAAAATTGTGTAATATCTATCTATCTATCTATATATATATATATATATATTAGTTCAAAATGTAGAGAAAACAAGGGAAAAATTACAGTACAAAGAAGGAAAGAGAAAAAAATAAAAGAAAAATAATAATAAAAATGACAAGAAACCGGAAGGAAAAAAAAAGGAAAAAATTTTAAAAAAATCCGGAAAATAAAAGATATAATCTTTTTATCAACTCGCACGATTATATCCATAAAAAAGAGTGCTTTCTAATATTGTATCAATATAGCCAAAGCAAAATATATCAATACATGTTCGTTTCGTTATTTT